GTGTATACCTGTTGGACTTATCAAAGCGGTTGAGAGAAGTCTTGAGTTTCTCCACGATGGTTTTCAAGTAGTCGTTTCCTTGGTAACCTGAATTGCTGTCCCTTTCTTCGATTTCTTCAATAAATCGTTTCATCATCTCTACCTCTATATTAAAGCGACCTTTAAGTTCATCGAAATGTTTTTCAAGCTGTCGCTGAATCGTTTCCTCTTTGTTCATGAGCACTACGTTTTGGTGGTCCATTCCTTTCAATATTTTCTGGATGTTTGTCAAAAGACGTCTTTCTTTGCTGTTTTTACCCAGTCTAAAAAAGTACAAACAAAAAAATAATCATATTATTGAAATCGTTGGCAATTGTCATTTCTAAAGGACTGTAGAGTGGTTTTCATTGGACTGTGAAATTATAGCAGATTTTCTTGTTTGAACCAATGGGATGGATGGATTATACAATACACAATTAGCACCTTCTTGCATTCCTTTRCCGTTTGCTTCTATACTTCTTAYTTGGGCCATTACTTAATAGTGTCTAATAGTTGTATTCTAGAGCAAACGCAGGAAAACCATGAAATAAAATCAAACTAAATACTAACAAATAGCGGCTATTTAGAGACAGTTTGTCAGTATCAATGAACCAGAACGCAATAAAGATAAATGAAAAATGGTCCCATGTGGATTCATCTTCATTGTGTTCTGGTTAATTGATACKGACAAATTGTATCTAAATAGCCACTATTAGTTAGTATTTAGTTTGATTTTAATTCATGGTTTTCCTGCGTTTGCTCTAATAAAAGWAAGCAATGGSTGTAGAGTCTACTAGCGTCTATTAGCGTAGGAACTATTTCACAGTCCGATGAAAATTMATCTATAAACGGGACAAAATTTAAATAATGAAACTAAGTGGACCAAAAAGTAATCGAAATACCATTTGAGTATGATATAGGCTGCAAGTCTAGGGAAGTGGAGAGAGGGAAGAGGAGGGGGGAAGGAGAGCACCACCCAACTCCCTCCAATTTTATAGTAAAAGCACTTTTTTAACAAATCCACAACTAAATCAATAGAAATAATACTAACGTTCCATCTTTTTCCATTTGCTCGACTGACTGCATGACATCTCCCAGTTTTTTCTCTACAGCTCCTTTWACGCCGTCAACCGCCGGATCTCCTTCTCCTTTACCACCAACTTTAGACTGCTTTTCTTCTTGCYTTTCACCTTTAGCCGACTTTGAAGATTTTCTACCGGCCATGGCCTTTACTCTACTTTCAAGCTCTACACGGAAAAGAGGATATAGATATGGTAAAGATACGAAATATACACGAATAACAATTATAATAAGGATTATTGAGGCAAAAGTGTTAAATCCAATACCAGTAAAATTAATGTTATTTGATTCAGCAGTCTGGGCGACCAGTTTTCTGACTAAAATGCGTGAAAAGCGCACTTCAACGCTAATTTTAAATGAACGCAAACAAAAATGAAAAGATTTTCTATAGCTCTTCAAAAACTCATACATAATTAATGAGCTACTAGTCCAATRGAATGAGCCTATTTGGTCACATGCATGGACCTTTGTATCTGATAAAACACTCCTTATTAGTATTCTTTATATAAAGAATACTAATAAGGGTGACCTTTATCAGATATAATGGTCCATGACCCTAGCAAAGGTCTCAGGKTTGAAACCTGATCATTGACCAATGCAGGATGTCAACCGATTTCAGTGGACAGCCAAGAGCGGTTCTATTTTACTTTATGTGTATTCAATGTGGGATGACAAAAGTGCATTGTAAAGTGATTCGCGCATGATCAGTTTGCCCTATTTATCTCTGAACATATTTGTACGGCAATTTCTCCAAGAATTTTAACGGATTTGAGTTTCAAATTAGTGTTGGAGTTTTTGAAGCCGTTTAAAACACTCTCTCTCGTGTTTTAAACTATACATAAACGTTGAAATACTTTCCCTGTTTGCGCACGGGAAATACWATTATTATATTATATTATTATATTACTATAATAGAGGGAATTTAAAATATTTGATTTGCATCATAGAGACAAATTTTATGAAAAGTATTCCCTTGACATTGTACATTATTTCAGTAGATAAAATTACGGTTAAATATGAGAAAATGCGTATGTCTTACCATCAGGGTCAACCCCCATGCCTTTCAACTGATTCCTTACAACACTCTTCAACATTTTCCTTGCTTGAGCCAGCGCGTCATTCCATTCTTCCTCTAAACTTTTCTTTTTCTTTGCCTTGCTACCAGTCTTATGCACATTAGTACTCTCGCTCTGTCTTCCCTCTTCCCCTGTTATTTTCCTAGGTTTATCATCTTCTTTACCGCTAACTTTAGAAGATGGATATGGCTTAAGGAACCTGTCAAATGGAAATCTTCTAGGGCTTTCTTTCCAGCTTTCACTAGAAGATTCCTGCTTGATTTCGCTGTTGTCTTTTGTTGAAGAAAGATCATCTTTCTTTTCACTATTTTCTTGATCAGGACTTTCGCCATCAATAACATCGACAGTTTCTCTGACAAATAYAATCAAATACAAATAGTGAAAAAACTGAAAATATTGCAATAAATCTATGCTATGTTCATTCTTACTTAATAGGTTTACGTTCTTGAGTCAAATGTCGACTTCTAATCGTTACACTCTCGTCCATTTTATCGGCTTGACCATCTTCGCGCAACTTTCTTCCTCGTAACACGTCCAACCGGTCAACTTTGATAGACTTTTCTCCAATATCTCCGCTAATAAATGTTTCGTCATCAGCATCTGAGTCAGGTTTATCAAAAGGCCACACTTCACTCCTAGCGCGCTTTTTTTTCTTGGGCTTTTGAATATAATCATCACTTTCTTCGTAGTCGTATTGGTCTTCAAATTCTCGCATTTTGAGAATTTTGTCTGCTATTGCTTTAGCTTTGGCCTTTTTCTCACGTTCTATGAAAAATAATGAATAAAAAATATTGGTTACCACGTAATATAATTACACAAAGAAGTATCTTCCGAGGTCCGTTATTGCAGCCTCCCCTCCCCTCCCCCCAAAAAAACACCCCTCTCCCCCCCCCAAAAAAAACAACAAAACAAGCTTAACACATCCCACACTTACCAGCTGCTTTCAAGTATTTTTGATATCGTTCTTCAGGAAGAGCTGGTGAGCATGTAATTGCGAGCGGCTTGCGGTTTTCTGCTGGTTTAAATAATGGATGTTCACAGAGTTTACTTGTGTGTACAATCATGGAATATGTACAAGAAGACGGCTCTGTAACCATGGATATGTGATCTTGAGCATCAACTTCACACTTGAACTGGAATGAAGACAAGTGAACACATCAAAACAAATTTCACTGTTGAAAGACTCCTGAACCTTTTACATAACTACTTGATTTTCAATGTATATTTGTGGGATCTGTTTCTAGAGAAAACAAAAGATTTGCCATGTTTTGTCCAAACATATCTCTCAATGCACTGTGTACATGGTCATGACCAAGAAGTGTCTATTGTCTACTGTGATTGTCAAATCCAAAAGAATACACCTTTTCAGTTGCACTTAGGTCTCGATAGCAAGTTAATTATTCTTTGSAATTTGACAAATGAGACTATTCATATCAATRTTTGCATTGCTCACATTYCTACAAATTCAAAAGAATATTTAATACGCTGTCAAGGCCTAAGAGCAACTGAAAAGTTGTATTGTTGAGGTTTTCAAATACAACAATAAAATCTTACCTTGACTTCTGTTGTTCTTTGTGCTCCATTCAAGTCACAAGTTGTGCCATTTTCAAAAAATTGTGAATGAAACCTCTTGGAGCTGTTCTTTGAATATGGGAACTAAGGGAAAAACAMCTGATGATGAGAWTTRCTCAGAYCATCTGTGCGTTAYAATGCCATRATTATTGTTTACCTCAATTTCCTGCTTGTCCCATTCTGTTTGAGAACTGTAAATCCCTAAGGATATTCTATCGCCAACAATGGCATTACCTGTTGATTGCAGTTCATTTAATATCCGGCATGTATTTGAATCTATTTCTCAGGGGCAGATGCAGGAACTTCTACAGGAAGGGGAGCAAGGCACTAATGAAGGGTTGCAGTTATATATATTAAGAGTTRTTAGTTATATATATTAAGAGATACAAGGTTTCAGAAGGGGTTGCGTTCCCCCTGTACCCACATGCTGGCTATGCCCCTATATACATGTATTTGTGATATTCACTTTTAAAACAAGCTTGATATTAATTGGAAATGTTTTTTTTTACGAAACCTAACTGCAGAGGTAATTTAATTGTATATACAAGGAACATGACAATAAGAATTGTTTGTCACAATTCGATTGTCTAATTCCATTGCTCTTTTAATATTCACCACAGAGTTTATTTTCACCATTGAATACATATTGCTAATGATGATGATTTTGCAGTTAAATAAACATTTCAGTTTCCAAAGTAAAGTAATRACAAGAGGTGGATAGCATTAAATCTAAACACAGGAATCCCTGAAAATGCAATAGTAACTGAGTTATCAATCCAAAGTCTATTTACCTTCCTCATGGTATTGAGATACAGACTTTCCGYAGCAAAATTCATATGTCCACCAGCCTTTGTTCTAAAATAAATCACACAACATAACCGGTAAATCAGAAACTTTTAAAACAGTCCTTCAGGCTGGTGTGCTAGGCTACTAGAAGTCTTTGATTAATCAACAAAAGATAAAACTACATGATCCTTGTACTGACCCAGCACAYGTGGCATGTTTCTAACTATTTTTAAAACTCTGCAAAATGATAAACAATCTAACTTTGTGCTGTTCACTATAMAATRTCAAGACACTGGGCTCCATCACCACACTCCTTCATTAATACATCCCTGGTGCAAGCCCTAGACAGGATCCTGTARGATCTTATTCAGGAATGGGATCCTAAATAGGATCCTATGTTGGAACAGGATTTTAACTAGGATCCTGACCAGAACACTGCATGGGAATAGGATCTTACACAGGATCACATTCTTATGTAAGATCTTATAGTAGGAATAGGATTCTGAACAAGATTCTGTAGGAGCTTATATAGGATCCTGACAAGATCTTGATTAGGATCATGTCAGGATCCTAGCCAGAATGTGCACCACGGATGTACTAGAAACAGGCATCTCGGAATTATGYGTGGATGMGGACGCGCATAATTGCCCCCTTTCCGCATAATTTACCAAATCGCGCAYAATCCCGCATAATTCGTGTTTTTTTTCCCATGTTATACCATTTTTTAAGATGACTTGCCTTCTACTAATGTTTTTTGTGGTCCATTGATCAAAAAACGCTCCCAAACATGCTTATAATTTTCTGAATATAGTTTTATTTTTGTGGGCTTCACAAATGTACCAGGCGTTCAAAATTTCATCAGAAAAGAGTCTGGGCACTAGCATTACTGGTCACCCTGTGCCTTACTAGWTCACATGACAAATTCCAATATGGCGTATGATACAAGTGAGATGTAAAGCGTGCGAGAACGAAAAAGTGTAAAAAGATCTTTCCTTCTGTTGGTACTGCCTTCTGTACTTCGTAACTAAGATAAAAACRGAGTTTTGTATGAAAAACAAACACAATAACCTAAATATATGTAAAATTTCCCAAAGTTTACGTTCCTGTGATGACGTCATCCCGCATAATTTTCCGCATAATTCACCCTTTTCTCCGCAYAATATGGGGAAAAAATTCCGCATAATTTTGATTTTTTTCGCGCATAATTCCGACATGCCTGTAGAAAGCACAGATATTAATATATAAACTCAAAGTGTATATTCCCATTTATACTGTACATAATCAGTGACACAAAAATTAATCTTGACAAACTTGTGTTCTTATATCATAGTCAGGATATGTGGCTGGAACTTACATGGTGTAAACACTTGTTTTCCAGAGATTTTAATAAACTTGAGACTTCTTCTGTAGTAAATGTCTTTTTAGTTTCCTCAATTGTTTCTTTGGTTTCTGGTTTAGGTAAAATACATTGGTATTSCTGTCCATGTTTTGAAGAAACCATGACAGAATTTGAAAGTTCTGGATCCTGTAAGGGAAATATCATTATGTTTTTTTTTATATTTAGCAACTATCAAAATTAATATTAGCCTGAGTCAAATCTTGTAAACTCTCATTCAGAAAAATGTTATCTCCAAACAATGGAATATGTACAAATTTTACACGTGATCTTGAAAATATCTATGAAAATCTAGGAGTATATACCTATACGGGATTCTTAATGAATATGTGCATATTCATTAAGAATCCAATATACTTATGCATAAACACAGGCAACCCAATCAAATTCAAGAATGAAGAAATTCAAGTTTTATTACTGTCTTGAAGTTGAAATTTATGGGTTGCCTGTGTTGCATGATATACTGCATACAACAGACTGGTAGAAGTGCTACTGATGTTTTTTGTATGTGGTACATCAGAATAACCTTGTGACAATCTTGTATATTCTGTACTTTATTTTTATTTTTTAAACCARTAATAATGTCTCMAAAATTATTAAAATGGATTCAAAGACTCTAAYATGATGGATCCAAAATCCTTTGCACCATTGTCTTACATATGAAATACAGACATCTGTCATTTTTGACCCAATCAAAAGGCGTCTTTCAACAATAAATCTTTTTTTAGAACAAAACAAACCAATTGCAAAGGTTCTTGAATGTAGGGAGTTCTTCTCGACAGACTTCTATATTTCTGCTCATCGACAACTAGCTATAGGCAAAGTTACTACCAGAGATGTCAAAAAATACTAAATTTATTTGCTATGCTATTTGCTAGTTGATTTAAGTTAAACTTATACTTACTAGTAAATGTGTGTTTAAAATAAAAGCTTGCACTGCTATCATAGTTAATTAACCTAAATGATGCTGAAATTTAACATCTTACAACAGAACTTCCAACATTACAGAGATCCCAACTTAACTTCTTATAGAAACAGCTTGTACAGGTGTTTTAGAATGCTGGGCCATTATTGATTCAAAGTTCGAGAATTTTTATGTTGYCTGCAAGGTGTTTTGACGTCGCGTTCACTCATTGGTCMAAGGTAAAACAGCTATAGAAACTCACCTCTTTGAGTAAAACTGGAACTCCAGCTATCTCTATTCCATATTTAGTGCTTCGGATTTCTTCTATGTCAAGAAAGGATCTCGTCGATGAGATAATRCTATTYAAAATTGTTAGAATAAAAACCTGTCGCACGACAGGAAGAATCGCCATGTTTTGATGTGATGATTGCAATGCACTCTGGGKTTTATTTACTTCTGCCCAGGTCCCTGCTCGACTTTTGTGAGGYGATTCCCATRATGCATCGTTCAAAAATATGATGGCATTTTTCTTGCAATCTACCTTTYTCGATTTATAATATTTTATCGTTTTAATTACATTCAACATGGAAGATCAGGAAGTCAAGAATGATATCAACAATGTGAAATTTTCTCATCTACTTTCYCCAACAGCCGTTCAAAATCACGTGCGRCAATGGCTGCAAGAAGACATACCGGCATTTGACTTCGGAGGYTTTGTWGTAGGAGAAACTCAAGAAACTGCTGTACTTCTATGCAAATCAACAGGTGTCCTTGCAGGAGTACCGTTTTKYAATGCAGTTTTTRAAGAGCTWGGTTGCACAGTGAAATGGAATTATCCCGAGGGGGTACCCCTAGAGGCTGTTTCWACCGTTGGCCTTGTTAAGGGTCCAGTGAATAAAATTTTACAAGGAGAAAGACTAGCTTTAAATTGCTTGAGTCGCGCAAGTGGTATAGCAACCAAGGCTCGAAGTCTTGTCARCTTGAAGAAGAAATGCCAATGGGAGGGTGAAATTGCTGCAACACGCAAGAACACCCCTGGATTTCGATTGGTCGAAAAGTATGCTGTATTAGTGGGAGGGGCTTCTACTCACCGATATGATCTTTCATCCATGATTATGCTTAAAGACAACCATATATGGTCAATAGGGGACATATCTAAGGCCGTAAAGAATGCAAGGAGAGTTGGTGGATTTTCAATAAAGATTGAAGTTGAATGTCGTTCTCTTAATGAAGCCAGGAGTGCAGCAAATGCTGGGTCAGATATAGTTATGCTTGACAATTTCTCCCCTGAAATACTACATAAAACAGCCAAAACATTAAAGGAAGAATTTCCAAGTMTTTTGATTGAAGCCAGTGGTGGCATTACAGAGGACAATATAGAGAACTATTTTGGTCCATTTATTGACATCATATCATTGGGATCTATAACTCAACAATATACAATTGTTAACTTCTCTCTGAAAATATTAAAAGATGGTTGTGACCCATGTAATCCCTTGGTGACTGCATGAATATAAAAYGGTCTGCGAAAAAAATCYATTTAAAATAGATAGATATTGTATGATGATTGTCAATGCTGGTCAAACTTCATTTGCCTGTCTTCAACTGACATTTTGAGAACTTCAACAGATTGGAAGGAATTTGCTTTCTGTATACWTGAGAGAAGACTATTATTTACAGAATTGACTTGTCAAGACCTATAGACTCCACATRGAGTTGTTCATTTACAAAAGGACCTATATGTGTTACTTGAGGAGATGAGGACTACTGAACTTTGTATTTTCATATGACAACAATCTTCAGGTATGCTTTATAGAAAGAACAGTATTAACTAATGCAAAAGTCATATAGCTTTTCTCTAATGATTGTTAAATTCAATTSTCATTGTAACTGATCATTGTTACTGAAATGACCACTAACAGTCTAATAATTTGGTAGCGTGATTAGGTTCACCCCAGGCAACTTTTTTTTTCCTCCTTTGGGCTTCCTTTGTAATGTTCATCTTGGCCACTAGGGACTAGTGACAAGAAAAGAATGATTTTCCCTCTTTTGACTCCAAACAAAACAGGAAGCCCATGATTCTTAATGATTTCTGTGGAGGAGGCTAGATTAGGTACATGTAGATCATTTAGGTTGCAAAATTCAAAACAGTGACACTCCAGTGAATTCTGGGATAATGCATTCATAGATAATGTGTTCATAGGTTAAGCCTGGGTTCCTGAGGATGCAGTTGTCACASTTATCGCAACCACATTATAATTCTTATACTAACTGTACTAAAATTCAAACTAACCAAGACGGTCATAATGATTAATCATTTATTAAGAAAAAGGCACATATTGGTTTATATCCTGATTTCAAGGGCTTGGTACTTTATTCAATGTSGAGAAAAAGCAACAAATATTGTTTAAGAAAGCAACATGTTTAGATAAAGATTTTGAAATCGGCCATTATTTTAAGAGCTATCAACATCATCTGTGTCTGTAGGAAGCCTCTTTTCAGAAGTAGGTGTTGTGCTGTGGTTACGCCCTGGGTCCTCGTCAAGAACTTTCTTTACTGTTGGGGGTGGGGAGGGGATGGGTTTATCACYAATCTGTGGTAAAACAACTCCTGGTACATCTTCTACTAGACCTTTATAGATGTGACCATCTTGACCCATGATGTCAACGTTCTGGAGGTTCTTAAGRCTGTTTTCTGTAGTCTCAAGAATAAGTTCATCCTTGTTTAGCTGGAGGCCTCGTATGATACTCCGGCTATGGGGAAAGGACAGGGTGTGGCTACCCCCACATGGYCTGTCAATCACCTCAGAGAGCTGCTCTATGTTTGGAGTACCGCTAGAAAAATCACAAAAAAACATTACTTACTTATAGGGACATGGTCTTTTGCATTCAATGCGGTCGTGTTTTAGATTTTTCATATATGGAAAATGAGGTGAATTCGAATGTCCATTCGCGATCCGTTTCCATCCATCAGTTTGAAAGTCGAATCTTGCAATATTTCCAGTCATATAGTATTAAATATAAAGAGTAAGTTTTTGCTTATATTACTACGATGTATTTTTATTTTCGAACATGACCAAAAGCTCGAAAGGGATGCTATGCTATGTCATCAAAGCGAGTATATGATTTCATTTCTGTATTGTAAAAGTGGCTATATAGCGGAGCGAAGACAACGCATTTGAAGACACTGTTTTTTTTTTGTTCGGATTTAAATGTGCCTTTAGCGAAACTCTTTATTTTGGACATTTCTTACCTAAGCTTGAGAAGTTCATTTTGTAGTCTTCTGCGGCGATTGTCAATGGCCTCAAARCGTTCTTGATCAATTTCTAATCCTCCGCGAATCATATGTTGGCGTACTTGATCCAACTCGTACGTTGTGTAAGGTCGGTTGGACTTCTTGATGGGCATTGGCTGTGTGGATGGTAATGGCGGGAACATCCCGTCACGTGCAAACTCTACAGGACGATCGCATGAGATACACGAGAAATTCTTGATAAGCACTTTTCTAAATCCGGCAGCGTATTCTTCTGCAGGTGGRCGAATTTCAACAGGTTTGGGTTTGAAGGACTTGAGCCTCTCTTCCAAGAAGAGCTTCAATGGTTCGACTTCAGCTTTATCGAGTTTTGTTCTAATGTGGCCTGAAATACTGTCCATGGCTTCTCTAAGCACATTTTCCTATACAATCAACAGTAAAAGAGGTTAACACCCGACAAAGGGTTAGGAAAAGAAGTAACGTAAAAAAAGGTTAAAAAGGAAGTAACGTTTCGGAGGTCGGATTTTCGTCGAAAGGACCACTACTTCCAAGCGACGAAAAGCCAATGTATAAGTTCTCTTTGGTTTTCATTTTAGTTTTAATAAAGTTTATTTATTTTCATCAGAAACACCTTCGCATTTATCTCTTSAAGTTGCAGAGAGTATGTTTCGGTTTGTTCCTTCTGCGTGTGTTTATTTTTCTTTCGGTTATTTTGTATCTCTACGTGCTAGTTGATTTTGCCTCGTGGTTACTATATTATTGATCAGTGATGAAACGCATACTTACATGGCCTTCAAGCCTCTGTAAAAGATCTCTTAGTGACTGATCAACTAAGCCTATGTAACGATCAAAGTCYTCGCGCTCAACCTTCAACTCCACGTCCCTCTTGTCGGCTTTGAATTTGATTTCATTCGTCACCAGGTCCTTGTCAGCCTTCACAACTTGGATCGTCTCGAGCTTAAACATTTAAAAGAAATAAAGAATGTGTATAGAATACGTGCATATGTTATTTTTGTGGTGTCCGCTACGGCGAAAGCGTAAGAGTGAACAGAAGCAGAAGAAAAAAGCACAAAGGAATGAAATCAAACGTGCGAACACAACCATAAGCGTAATCATAAGAACAAGCATAAGAGGTGCATTGATAAGCTCAAACGGAAGAAATTGCGATTTACAGTCTGCAGGTATTTCATGACGCGAGCTCTTCTAATTGTTATCAAAGAAAAAAAAAAACAAATGACTGCATATGCTACCTGTTCGTGTAACTCGTCAAGTTTTTTCTGTTTCATGTAAATCTGCTCAAGGATGCTTTTGTTAGCGTGCTTTAAGTTGTCTTTCTCTTCCTGCAGGTCAAATATCATTGCTCGAATAAGACTRATGTCTTCTGAGCCATCCGCAAAACTACGGGTTCGAGTTCGATGGCTAGACTGGCTCTTGAGGTCTTCTTTCTCGGCCAATAATGCTGTTGGAACAAAAGGGAAATGTAACTAAGATTTCTAGTGTGATTCTCTTCTAGTAGAAAACATCGATCTATTGGTAGAGAGCRTCCATTGAGTAATATTCTAAGCTCGAGTTCAGGTATAGCTTCCTTCAAAGATGCTCCTGTAGTCGGGCCTCCTCTAGGCAACGTATGAGCTCCGGGATTCTGGTCTTTGGACATCGAGCAATGGACAGGAGGCCAGAAAACAGGAATAACTGCGAAGGAGACTTGTGATTTCTGTTATAGACTTAAAGCCTGCATGATAAACGCTGACAAATGAATGCAGCCGCCAGATAACGTTTTATATTATAACTGTATTGACATCTGAGTAGTAGTCTACTAGCATAGTCTACTAACTATGGTTTTACCGAAAGCTAGTTCTTACCTTGAAGTATTGCACTTATTCTCTCAACTTCTTTTTCCTGAAGCTTGAAACTGTTTTGCAGTTGTGGAACTTGCAGTTTATTTTCTTCCATGAATGTATTTACTTTTTGCCGTTCAAAATCCAACCTTTTTACTGTTTGGGAAGTTTCTTTAGTAGTCTCGTCAATTTTCTTGTTAATAGTTTGCAATTCTTGTCTCAATTGTTGTATAAAGTCAGTCGATGAATCAGAAGTGGGGCTGGATGAACGCTGCTGCAAACCCATTGATTCTAGTGTTTCTACGCGGTTTTCAACGTCTTTAACTTGCTCTTCGATAAGCGCCTGGGCCTCTTGCAGTTCTTCGCACCTATCCAAAGCTTCATAACACTCTTTTGGTGGCTCATTCGAAATGACAAAAGGAGCAGCTTCTTTGTCTTCTTTACTACTCAGAAACTGAGTTGCAAGCTGGTTTATTTCGTGCTGTATTTTCCGTTCGGCATCGTGCTTATATGTGTTGATTTGCGCCATAAGTGTTTTGATTTCCTTGTTAAGGTGCTCTAAGTTTTTCTCGATCTCTTTTTGTTTGGTATTTTCCTCGACTTTCCTCTTTGTTTCTTCTTCGTCTTTTTGCTTCTCTTTCTCTTCCAGATCAACGATTTGTGGAGGAGTTTGTCTTTTTTCTGTTTGCGAGGCTAAGGTATTTTCAAGTTCTTTTAAGGAATCTTTGAAACTTTCCATTTCTGTAGATACTTTCTCGATGTTGTGAACCTTTGACAACTTATCCTTCACATCACTGACCTCTGATGTTAAAGCGTCAATCATTTCAGAAAGAGCCTGTATGGTGCTCTCAGAAGCTTCAAGTTTTCGTCCAATGTTGATGACTTCAAGCATGTCTTGCGCAGGTGTTTTTGACTCACCCTGCAAAAACATGGACGCAGTAGATCTCACTTTCATTGGACTCCTTGGGTTTTCCAAGRTCTCAACGCGCGATTGAAGGTCTATCAAAGTCTTCTTGAGAGTTCTTACTTCACCACGAACGCCAGTATTTTCAAGGCTTTGACACGAACGCGATGAAGTCTTATGAATACTCGCTGCAGCACTTGTGGTACTTCCTCCGCTTTGAAGAAAACTAGAAGTAGGGGGCGGAGTTATGTTGAAAACAGGCGAAGCCTTCGATGCAGCATCAGGACTTGCTATTGAAGTTTCAGATCTATTATCTGCTGAGGCTACCCTTTCTCGACTTATTCGCGGTGTTGCTGACTTGGATCGTTTAGAGGATGGACTTACGCTTGGCAGTTTGCCTTCTGATATTGTTTCCTGTTGMAGAACTGGTGAAGCGCTCTCTTGGATCATGTCTAAGTCAAAAGGTGATTGCCCTCTCGCCTCTAGAATACCATCTTGAATCATTTCATATACCGTCTTGAAGTCCTCGCTCTCGTCGTTGATCCAAATGGTTTTTCTTTTTATCCCCAGATGCTTCAGAATCTCGTGTAAAAATCCTCGCAAGACATTAAAATTAACATTGCCGGCTTCTTGCGAGGAAAGTGCAACTTCTAGTAGCTGCTCGAGGTCGACTTTCAAAGTCGACATTGCAGCTTCAGAAGTATTTGATATTTAGATTTTAAGTGGAAAAGTCGARCAATGCATGKTTGTTTCTCGTCACAGAATCTTGCATTGCCAGTAGAKCGCGCGCATCACAATTAGATGTGACGCAAATAAAGAGCAGAGACGTGACACTCATTCATGACCATATTTGGATTTAAATTGATGACGTCATA